ATGACAACTGCAACAACAACAACAAAATAGCCAGGCATTGTGGCAGGTGCCTGTAGTCTCAGCTACTTGGGAGGCGAAGGCAAGGGAATCGTTTAAGCCCAAGAGTTTGAGGTTGCTGTGAGCTGTGACACTACAGCACTCTAACCAGGGAAACAGCTTGAGACTCTGTCTCAAAAAAAAAAAAATACCTGCTGGGCATGGTGGCTCACACCTGTAATCCCAGCACTGTGGGAGTGCTGAAGGGGGAGTGTGAAGAGGGAGGATTGCTTGACCTCAGGAGTTCAAGGCTTGTCTGAGCAAGACTGAGACCCTAACTCATGAAAAATCGAAAAACCCACCCAGGCACCACAGAGAGCAATGTAATACCAATGGCTTTGGAGCCTGAGGCAGTAAGATGCCCACAGCCCGAGTCTGAGGTTGCACTGAGCAACAACGCCATTGTACTCAGCTCAGCGCATAAGGTAGAAAGAACTCTGACTTGAGAAAAAAAAAAAAAGAAAAGAAAAAGAAAGAAAAGAAAAGGAAAGAAAGAATGAAAGAGAGAGGGCAGTGCCTGGGGCTCAGTGACTAGGGCACTGGCCCCATATACCCAGGGTGGCGGGTTCAAACCTGACCCTGGCCAAATTGCAACAAGAAAATAGCCAGGAGTTATGGTGGGTGCCCATAGTCCCAGCTACTCTGGAGGCTGAGGCAAGAGAATTGCCTAAGCCCAAAACCTGGAGGTTGCTGTGAGCTGTGACGCCACAGCACTCTATGGAGGGCAATAAAGTGAAACTCTGTCTCTAAAAAAAAAAAAAAAAAAGGAAAAGAAAAAGAAAATAAATAAATAAATATTTTTATGTATAGTTAGTTCCCATCTTTGTATTCTTGTCATAGGTACCATATTAGGGCAGTAGGGCAGTACTGTTCTGTGTTATAATTGTGTCTATTTCTTAAACTCAACTGCAACTTCCAAGTCCGATTTATTTCTTTATTCTAAGCATTGCAACAGATACCTTATATCATTAAATAATAATTCTTAAACAACTGCTATGGGCCAGGCACTGTTCTAAGCATGGGAGAAATGAATATAGAGGTGAACAAGACAAATGGAAAATGCTGTAACACAGCTCACCTTCTGGCATGAGAAGAGAGATAATACATAAGCAAAGAAATAAAGGTAATAACTGCAGTAGACAGAGTGAGTTATTGAGAATACCTGGGATAGGATTAAAAGGGGGGGGGAGGGTACTGCTATAGGCCAGGTGACCAGGGACCAGTTCCCAGAAGAAGTGACATTTGAGCTGAGACCTGAATAGCAGAAAACAGCCACATAATAGACATTTTAACCAGAATGCAGTTAGGGGATTTGAGGGAAGCAAAAAGGTTGGAACAAAGTGATCTAAGGGCATAATGTCAGAGAATGAGCTCTGAGAAGTGGGCAGGGTAGGGAATTTGGATTTTTTTTTTTTTTTTGAGAGAGAGACTCTTACTTTGTAGCCCTCAGTAGAGTTCTGTGATGTCACAGCTCACAGCAACCTCAAACTCTTGGGCTTAAGCAATTCTCTTGCCTCAGCCTCCCAAGTAGCTAGGATTACAGGGGCCCACCACAACACTCAGCTATTTTTGTTGTTGTTGTAGTTGTCATTGTTGTTTAGCAGGCCCTGGGCCAGCTTTGAACCCGCCAGCCCTGGTGTATGTGGCTGGAGCCCTAGCCACTGAGCTACAGGAGCCGAACCGGAATTTGGATTTTTATTCTGAATTTGATAGAAACATTTGGAGAGAGAGGAGATGCTTGCAAGTGTGGAGAGAAGTGGATGAATTCAGAATGAGTCTGGAGGTAGAGCCAACAGGTTTGACGATGGATTGGAGGGCAGATGAAGGAAAGAGAAATTGAAGCCAAATCCTTGGTTTTTGGTAGGAATGAGTGGAGTTGCCACACATAGTAGGGAGGAGTGAGCTTAGGGGAAACCAAGAGTTAAGTTTTTGGAGTGTTCAGTCTCAGATACCTATTAGACTGGAGACTGTTGGGTGTGAGTTTAAAGCCCAGAGTAGAAGTCAAGTGTTTAAAGTATGAGATTGGCCAGCGTTAGTGACTCACATCTGTAATCCTAGCACTTTGGGAAGGAGAATCTCTTGAGGCTGGGAGTTTAAGGTTGCCATTGCACTCAATACCCAGAAGGAGAAAAAACCTGCCTCAACAAAACAAACAGAACAGAACAAAACAACACAACACCCATGAGATTAACAAAACTGTAATCTCAGCACTTTGGGAGGCTGAGTTGAGACGTTGAGGTAGGAAGATCACTTGAGGCCAGGAGTTTGAGATCAGCCTGGACAACATAGTGAGACCCCACCTCTACAAAAATAAAAATTAGCCAGGTGCGTTTGTGCACACCTGTAATCCAGCTACTCAGGAGGCTAGGATGGGAGGATGGCTTGAGCTCAGGAGTTTGAGGTTATAGTGAGCTATGGTGGGCCATTGTCCTCCAGCCTGAGTGGACCCTGTCTCTTTTTCTTAAAAAAAAAAAAAAAGAGGGCGGTGCCTGTAGCTCAGAGGGTAGGATGCCAGCCAGGTTCAAACCCTGCCCAGGCCAGCTAAAACAACAATGACAACAAAAAAAAAATAGCCAGGTGTTGTGGTGGGCGCCTGTAGTCTCAGTTACCTGGGAGGCTGAGGCAAGAGAATCACTTAAGCCCAAGAGTTTGAAGTTGCTGTGAGCTGTGATGCCACAGCACTCTACCCAGGGTGACAGCTTAAGATTCTGTCTCAAGGCTCGGCACCTGTGGCTCAAATGGCTGAGGCACCAGCCACATACACCTAAGGTGGTGGGTTCAAATCCAGCCCGGACATACCAAACAACAATGATGGCTGCAACCAAAAAACATCTGGGCACTGTGGCGGGCACCTGTGGTCCCAGCTACTTGGGAGGCGGAGGCAGAAGACTTGCTTGAGCCCAGGAGTTGGAGGTTGCTGTGAACTGTGATGCCACAGCACTCTACCCAGGGGGACAGCTTGAGGCTCTGTCAAAAAAAAAAAAAAAAAAGCATGAAATTGTCAGTCTGAGTCCTTATGGGAAAAGTTAGTATACCCAGAGTAACTGATGAAAGCTTAATAAAGAGCTTACAAAGGTATAGGGGAATCATTAAGGCATAGTCCAGCACTCTGGGTGTTGTTACCACTCTCTTAACCCCGGAAATGCTGTGTGGAGCTGCTAGCTGTGTAGAGCTTGGAGTGAGGGAACATGGAATAAATATCTTTTTTTGGGGGGGCGTATTTGGCAGGGGCTGGGTTTGAACCCACCACCTCTGGCATAGGGGACCAGCGCCCTACCCTTTTGAGCCAGAGGCACCGCCTGGAATAAATATCTTGACCTCACACTTCTCTCTCCCATCTGCTGACCTCACTGGAAGTCTGTTGATGCAATTGAAACAGATATATGGGAAGAGGTGTCTATGAAATAGGAGGAAATCAGGATTGGTGGTGTCCTCAAAGACCAAGGAGCTAATGGGAAGGAGGACGGAGGGAGGTGACAGCAACTGATCTGCCAAAAGGGCAGGTGTCTGTGGACAGAGAAAGCTCAGTGGAATGAGGACCAAGAGCCCAGTTAGCACTGCCGGAGTAAGCACCAGAAGTGATAGAGGAGAGAAGGACCCATAGAGACGTTTTCCAGTCTATAACTTCAAATCCTCATCACCTCCTTCACCAGTAGGCACTGCTAATCTTATTTTCAGAGAAAGAAACTATGCCTTGGAGAAGGTTCACACCTTGCTTAGGTTATAAATGGGATGGAGCTCAGGTTGGCCTGATTCTAATTAGACCAATGGGGTCAGAGGGAGGAGGTAGGGATGGGGCGGGCAGTATAGTGAGAGAATGGAAGAGAGGGGGGGAGTCATCATAGAGGGGGAGGGAAGGAGTTGGAGGAAGAGATGATCAGATAGTCGGATTCCTGGAAGGCTATGTAGCCCTCCCTCTACTTTCTCTAGATAACTATATCTTTCTTCCTGCTCACTCTAGAGTAGTGAGGGTCGGGGGCAGGTTCTAGGGAGAGCCTACTTCCACCAGGGGGAAGAGTGGAAAATGTCCTTAGGGGTGGATGGCCCACGCCGGGACATGGACATCCATCCTGCTCTTGAACGACACATTCTGGTCCCAGCCTCAGGGAGCCGCTATCTCCCGCCAGCCAGGACACCTCCTGCCCCCAGTCTGGGCCTGCCTGGCCGCCCGAGCCCAAGGTGACCGCCTTTCAACCGCAACCTCTACGCTGTGCCCTAGGCGCGCTGTGTCTGTCTCTCCCTCCTCCCTCAATCTGGGAGTGCACTTGGCCGCGGACACCAGACTTTGCCGGTAGGGGAGGGGAAGCCGCTTTTCTGCTTGGCGGGGGCTGCGGTGCAGTGGCTGGGAACCCAGCCCAGCCCTCTCCGGGGAGGGAGAGCCTGGCGCGCAGTAAGGCGGCGCCTGGCGCCCCCTCGGGTCTGAGCTGTGCACAGCAAGGGTGGAACCCAAAGGGAAGGCCCAAGGGCTCAGGGGCGTCGCGGCTGGCTGCCTCACGCCGGCTGGGCTGGCCTGGCCTGGCCAGGTGCTGGAAAGATGGCTTCGGAGGACACCCCCGACATGAGGACCAGTGGTTCAGAAGCCCAGCCCGGCGCACTACTGTGGTCAAGTCTCCTACGCAACGCCAGGGACACGGGTCCCAAAAGGTGCCAGGGTGCACTCATTGGTAAAACACCGCACCCAGAGTGCCTCCTAGGTAGTTGGCCAGGTCTAGAGAAGCTCTCTTGCAAGAAGTCCTGCTTCTTGAGCTGACCTGGACGCTCCAGTAGATGAAATTCTGTGCCCCGCCAACCCCGGCGAGGCATGGGTGTCCAGAGGGCGGGGCTGGAGTCCTCCTGGCAGGTGCCGGGGGCGGCGCCCGGCCCTGCCCCTGGGGGGCCGTTCTTGGAGGCCAGAGGCGGGTCAGAGAGAAGCGGCCAGTACGGGCGACGCCTTGGAACCAAAGGGCGGCGACCACAGCCACAGGTGCCTCACAGAGCACTGTGTCCTAGCTCTGGGCATCAAAATCCTGGCGAGGGGAACTGAGGGTTCCGAGTTGGTTCCAACCCTGGACACCGAGGCCCCCGTGCGAGAGAGTGGAACCCTGGGGTCGTCTGAAGCGTGGGGCCAAGAGCCCCCTGAGCCTCCTGTAGAGAAGCTTGAAGTCCCCTGGCAGAGCTGCGAGGTCCTTGTGCCCTCCACAGGGCAGGGCGTTGAGACCCCTGAGCAAGAGAGCGAAGTCCTCCAGCCATCAGCCCCGCCTGCCGCGGCTGCAGGCTTTGTGCGTCCTAAGCCAGGCAGTGACGATCCTGGGCCGTCCGAAGCGAGAAGCGCAGAGGTCCAGGGGCAGTTTCCCCCTCCGGGCCCTAAGATCTCCTCTGGGTCAAGCCTGGAAACCCCGCAGCTGAGTTTTCTTCTGTGTCCCGAAGATCTCCAACCAGACCCAGAGGAGCTGCCCATGGAGACGCCCATCGAGCGCGAAATCCGCCGCAGCTGCGAACGTGAAGAAAGCCTGCGGCGGAGCCGGGGCCTGAGCCCGGGCCGCGCGGGCCGCGAATTCGTGGAGTTGCGTGTGCGGCCAGTGCTCAGTCTGCCCGGCCCTGGCCCCGCGCCCACGCGCGCCTTGGAGCGCGCGCGCGCGGGTGCGCAGATGCAGCGAGACATCGAGCGGGAGGCCCACCGGCAGGCGGCGCTAATGCGCCCCGCGACCCCAGTCCCGCGCTCCGGGTCCCCGCCGCCGCTGGGTGAACTCAAGCGCTTCTTCGAGGCCGCGGCGGAGAGCGGTTCCTCCTCGGTGGCGGCGGAAGGCGGCGTGAGCCCGCAGTGGCGGCCAGAACCCGGAGGCCGTCCGCGCTCGGTAGTGCTGGCTCGCGCCCCGGCACCTATCGCTCCGTCGCTGCTAGAGCAGGAGGTGCGCGAGGTGCGCGAGCGCGAGCGGGAGCTGCAGCGCCAGCGGCGCAGCGTCTACGGTACCGTAGACTTCAAGGACCCGGCGCCGAGCCTCACCGGTAAGGCGCCGCGACGCCGGGGACCCCCAGGCTTCCAGCGGTCCCCGCTGAAAGCCCAAGTCCAGTGGCTCCTTTTCTGGTTCTTGGATTCTCACGGTCTCTCTTGAGGCTCCCAGACTCTCAGGACCTTATTCTCAATTTTCTGTCCTTTGCCCTACTACTTTGGGCTGCCCACTCCTTGCGCTCTACTTCCCACCCGAGTGATGGGTGGACTACCAGACCCCCACCCTCTAGGTTGCGGAGGCTGGGTGGGGGAGGATTCCAGATGTCTTCCTGTTTGTCGAGTTCCAAGGAACCCTCTCTGGGTTCTTCCCTCTAAATTTTCGGGTTCCTGGCTCTCCTTCCTCCTTTGGTTCCTGGGTTCCCCGGAGCTGGATGAAGGCCTCCGTGGGAAAGAGAAGGGTGAACGCCTGTGTGTGTTTAAGGGGTGCGGCCGGCCTCTTTCATCCTGGCTGCCTCCACCTGGTGAAAGGAGGAGCAACCCCGGCTGAGCGCCCCTTCCCCCACAGCGAGCAGGGGCGATGGAAAGTTGGCGGTGATCTGGCCCCCCCGCAGAAAGGCTTCGGAGAACGGCCTGGAGCAGGTGGGAGTCCCCTTCCCCTGTGCCTAAAGCACTTGTCGCTGTCACACACAGCGTCCCCCGCCCCCCCCCACATTGCAGTGTCAGCACTTTGTGTATGGAAAGATGTATCTCCGCCCCCACCCCCTTGGAGCGCTACTGTGGCCAGAACTCTGTGGGCGCAGCCCGAGGGTGAGGAGGATGCAGTCGTCCAGCGGCCCAAACCGCCCCACCCTGCACCTGGGTGCGGTGCGCGGGTCACTGAGGGCCAGCCTAACCTCTAGCCCTCTCTTTCACTAGGAAGAGCACAAACCTTGAGGTTTGAATAGCTTGGGTACCATGGCCGGATGCAACACACCCGTCGGAGGACCAGGTTGGAGGCGGGGCGCCCAGCAGTGTTCTCTGCTTAGGCAGAAGGCCCTCTGTGCTGGAGAAGATGAAATCGACCCGCCCATCCTTGTTCTTGACTTTATGAAATTGACCAGTCCTCTCTTTAAAACTGTTTAGTCTGCACTGGGAAAGTGACCACATCCACAGCTGTGCCAGTGAAACTGTCTAGCCCTTCTCCCAATTGCAAACTGAACTATCCTCCCTTGGCGTCAGAGGGCTGGGGTCACCACCTCAGCTGCCCCCTCCCCCAATAAAAACTCTTCTATCAGGGCAGTGGATGCTGTTTTCTTCTGGGTCCTTCTGCAGTGGGGCCTGAGCAAGCCCGCAAGAGGTGCCGACTGGAATGCCGGGATGTGGGTATGTGCCCTTAGCGCCCTGTTCCCGGGCTGCCCGCCTCCCGGTGCCAGACCCGGCCTGGTCCGAGTCCGACTGCCACCTGGCGGTGCGGGCGCAAAATGTGGCGCTCAGAGCTCGCGTCCTCTCTTTTCAGCCTGCTTTCTCAGCATTTATTAGTGCCAACGGCTTACGCAGCGCCCTCTGGGCGTTGGCTATTAGTGCCAAGTGGGCCTCTTTAACAGTGATAAGAGGGCTTTTCCTATCCTGGGGACGTATAGAAAGCTATAAAAAAGGGGGGTAGGTAGTGAGGGTACAAGCTACTTCTCAACACCAGCAGTTTCTGATGATCACTGTTCTTGACATTGTTTCTCACAACGAACGAGTGTACAAGTGGAGTGGGGAGTATCAGGAGTTTCTGGTTTCCAAAAGCAACTAGAAACACAGGCTTTATAAGAGAAATCATGCTTCTTAAACTATTAAATATAACAAAATAAAAATGTACTGAACTTTTCACAATTGTGACACTTTAGAAAGAAACTTTTAAAATTGGGTGGGAGGGAAGGAAGGGAAGGAGAGTGGCAAACTTCACCTGTTTGCAACAGAGCCTACAGCTTTCAATTCGAAAGTCCTGCTTAATCCCTTTTCCCTGGATGG